AAGAAGAGGGTCCAAGTAGTCCTCTGCAAAAGCCTAAGAAAAAGATATCGAAGAAGGCCCAACCCGCAGAGGTTGTGGTCACAGAGGCTGCAATTCCAGAGAGCCCTGCAGAGGCTACTCCAAAGCGCAGAAGGTTGCGCAAGGTGGTTCACGAGGAGTCCCCAACAGAGCAGATACAAGATGTTATCTTCTAAATTCAACAGGAGTTTAAAGCACCTACGGAAGTAGCTGATTTGGGGACAGAGGTCGTATTAGACGATTAAGAGGAAGAGTTGGAGATAGGAGAGGGAGAAAAATATGCCCAAGGCACATATCCTAGCCCCCCTCCTAGTGCAACCCACGTTTCTAGGGACCCTGTTCTAGAGGGATCCCCTATTGAAAAAGGTGTGCACACGCTGAGCCCAACCCAAGCTAACCTCGCAGAGGACATTCTTCCGTCCTCTGTCGAATGCACTACCCAGGAACCACAACTTACTCCAACATCCTCTCAAAAATATGGTGGTTTTAAAATAAGAGTCCAATCGCCCAAGGACTCGTCACAACCCCAAGAGGCATCCGTTGCCTCTCCACACTTAAGTGACTAACCAAAATATGCTTTAGAGGCATATATGAGAGTCACAGAGACTGAGGGTCTAGAACGCCCAAAGTCCACACTCGATCCCTCTGCCGAGTTAGGCTCTGAACCTACAAGGCACGATATCGACAGAACACTAGTAGGATCTCCTCTTGGAGAAGTCCGAGGATCCGGTGGAAGTCCCCGAGCTGACTTCAAAAAACCAGTCGCTGAGGGCGCCTCGCACTCCGAGGCTACTAGGTCACCATGTGTTGGTGATCTAGGTTCCCAGGATACCTATGTGACGAAGGGGGAGTTACAAACCTTTGCCACAGCGGTATTCCAGAGGTTGGACGAGTTGAAAAGATTGTTCACCTCTCAATCGTCGATAGAGGCCCTTGCTGCAATAACAAAGGCTCTGAAGAAGTTGACATCTACAACGTAAGAACTCAAAGCAACACTTTCAACCCTTCAGAGCTCTGTACTTCATAAAGACGACCTCGCAGAAGCCTTCAGCGCTCTGTCACTCAACCCCTCTTCAATCTAGAAGCTGAAAACAGAGTTATCAGAGGTAGCCGCCCAGTTTGCTGCTGATTTCATCTCTGCCGGCTACACATACTATTCCACGTTCAAGGACGAGATCAAGAACATGTTCTCCTCTGCGGTCACCTACGGTATTGATACCAAATCTTCCAGGGCAAACATCAATCATCTAGCCACTCGCAGAGAGCTAGACGCAATGGTTGAAGCCCTACGAGATATCATGAGCAAACACACAGATCAACTTCTCAAAGAAGCCCAAGCTTCCAACCAATCCATTAGAGACTGCACTTCAAAGCTCGCAAAGAGGGTGACTCCTTCAGAAGCGAAATCTATCGAAGTCTCTCTAAAATGAAGTGGGCCTCAGAGATCGACATAAACAACGCTTCTGTGCACACAGAGCTAGTGATCGAGAAAATGGAGAAGGCGGCTACCAGAATCTTAAGGTGATTGAAGAAGGCTCCCCTTATTACTTGCAAGGCAGAAGCCACCAAAACCATGACGTTCAAGGAGGTGATGACCATGATCATCATGAGGGGGAGAAGAAGACTAAGAAGAAAGCTGAAGAGCCAAAGAAGCAGACCTCTGCCAAACCACTAAAGATAGTGGACTCTGCAGCTGCCCTGTTCTCAAAAGACAAAGCACCAGAGCCTAAGAGGAAAGGCAAGGGAAAAGTTGTAGAGGAGTCGCCACAGAGGGGGTCGAGCTCTAAAATGCCAGAGGAGATAAACGAAGAAGAGTATGATGACCCAGAACTCGTTCAAGCATTAAAGGCGCCTTTGGCAGAGGCTCAAGCAAGAAAGGGAAGAGCCCCTATCCCTAGAGCTGGAGAAGGCTCATCCTCCAAGATGGCGAAGGAGGAAACGTCCACGGGTACGTTCGACGCTCTGTTAGGAACTGTCAAACCTATCCTAGCAGAGGGGTCTACCTAGAGGCCGATTCTAGAAGAAGAAGAAACAAGAGTGCCAGAATCTGCCACAGTGGGAAGGGTGTATGAGATCTTTGATTCGATGAGCAAAATCCCTACGAAGAAGGTGCGCACAGAGCCTGTAACCACCGTGGAGGAGATTCTGCGGTGGCGCTACTCTGCCGTAGACACATAGCCCCCTTACGATCCAGAGCTTACAGGTATACCATCTGCAGCTGTGAAGTTTCACTTCTCAAGACTCACAAAGCCACGCGAGCAGGTCTTCTCAGAGCACGTGATAAC